TTTAGATTCCATATCTACATCACGGGCTCTCACATTATTTTCTCCAATTTCCACTTCATATATAAAATTCTGGTCAATTTCTTGCTCGACTTTCACTCGTTTAATGCAAGCATCTCCTCCCTGAAATAATAAACCATAATCTACAGATAAGAACTCAAATTTATGCAATAGTCATACTATAGAGAATGAAAGTGAAAAACTAGTAGAATGTAAAAGAAATTCCATAAATTAGTCTTTCGATCGAATATCCTCCACCTTCACAAACCAAAATCCTCTCTAATAAGATGAAAATGTTACACTTTTCACATATAAAATTTAGATGAACATGTTATAAAATAAGATGAACATGTTACATAATAAAATGAACATGTTATAGGATAAGATGAACATGTTACATAATAAAATGAACATGTTATAGAATAAGATGAACATGTTACATAATAAAATAAACATGTTATAGAATAAGATGAACATGTTTAGATTTCATATCTACATCACGGGCTCTCACATTATTTTCTCCAATTTTCACTTGATACACAAAATTCTAGTCAATTTCTTGCTCGACTTTCACTCGTTTAATGCAAGCACCCCCGTCCTGAAATAATAAACCATAATCTACATATAAGAACTCAAATTTATGCAATAGTCATACTATAGGGAATGAAAGTGAAAAACTAGTAGAATGTAAAAGAAATTTCATAAATTAGTCTTTCGATCGAATATCCTCCACCTTCACAAACCAAAATCTTCTTTAATAAGATGAAAATGTTACATTTTCACAGATGAAAATTAGATGAACATGTTATAGAATAAAATGAACATGTTACATAATAAATGAACATGTTATAGAATAAGATGAACATGTTACATAATAAAATGAACTTGTTATAGAATAAAATGAACATCTTACATACACAATAAGGTGAACATGTTACCAAAAAACGAAAATTAGTTGTGTTCAAAAACCTATCAAATGTGGTCTCTATTTATAGATAATTAAAAATTATGAATTTTGGTATTTTTATTTTATTTTTTTAATATAAATAATTAATGATATTTTAATTTATGTAATATGTCTCATTTTTTCATTAAAAAAAAAAATTGGGAGAGTGCACTACACCTTCTAAATTTTCTAGCTTTTTTAGCTTTTTGAGAATGAGGAGCGCGTGTAATACTGTCTTGGCACACCTAGCAAGGTGTACCTAGGCACACGATAGTGCAACTGGCATGCAAAACCTATGATATATCTGAAGTGGGGAAAAGGAAAAGAGAAAAAGAAAGATAATTATATATATATTTTAGGTGGGGACTTCATGGATAAAGGCAGAGCCGGTCCTGGGTATTGGTAGGCCCTGGGCCAACAACAGAATAATGCCCCAAATGCCTCAATATTTCGTTTATTCTAAAACAAAATAATAGAATTTATATATATCAACAATTATCTAACAATTATTTTCCTGAGGGAATTTATATCATTTAAAATAAAAAGTACAATCCATGAATAATTTGATCATTGAAACTCAGAGATATAGAGAAGATGGGAGAGTGGTGAAACTCTCAAAAGAAAACAATCAATTGCCGACTGAATTAATTTTGGAGNAAAAAAAAAAAAAAAATAAGAATAGGAAGAGAGTAGAACCGCCCGCAGCCGCAGGAAAGAAAAGTTAAGGTAAAAGGTTCTTTGTCCTTTGAATTTGCTGTTAGTCGTTTCCATTTTCCCGTGCCCTTAAATTAATTAAAGTGGGCCTTCTTTCTTTCTACTAGTACAGATCCCGTGCGATGCACGGAGTGCACAAAATTAAGGCTATTTATCAAGTTTTATAATTATATAAATAAATAAAGAAAAATGTACAGGATATATATAATAGGTCAAAATGTGAACACGGGTGATGCACGGGGTGCACAATTTTAAGGTCATTTATTAGTACAGAGTCCGTGCGATGCACGGGGTGCACAATTTTCTAGTATGTGTAATACAAATACATACCGTATGCACGGGACAGAAGCACTAAATGAGTTATTTCCACATAGCTTGCCGGTTAAGTAGCTCCTGAACACGGGTGCACAATTTGTAGTACGTAATATAAAATCAGAACAGATTTTCATACAATTAGATAATAAATTAGATAATAAATAAAGCCTTTTTATTTTCATAAAGATTTTACGTACTTTTTTTTACTTATCGGATGTTATGGGATTTTTTTTGTTAAACCGATTTTATCGGATATGATACAAATACAATTAGAGGATTACACAGAATCAGAACAGATTTCTATACAATTAGATAATAAGAATGGATTAGATAAGGAAAAAAAGAAATTAGATAAAGAATTTTGGATCTACCTTTTTTTAGTATAGATAGACTTTACGTACAAATTTTGACTTCACCGATTTTATAAGATTTGTTTTGACAAAATTAAAGATGAATACTGAAGACTGTTTCTATTAATATTTACAATGTGTATTTAATGTTTTTTTTTTGGCAAAATATTCTTTTAAAGTGTGATAAAATATTCTTTTTAAGTGTGATATATAAATATTAAAAATACTTAAAATATTTAAAAATACTTAAAATATTTTATAACATCTATAAAAGCATCTAAAATATTCTATATTATTCAAAAATAATGTTTGAAGCTACCTAAATTTTTCTAAACTACCCGTAAGGAAAATATGTCTAAAAATTCTTCATTTAACCTTCATATATGTATATATATATATATAGAGAGAGAGAGAGAGAGCAAATGTGTAAAAAAAAATTATACAAATAATATTTAAAAGTATCTAAAATATTAGTAATGAGACAGGTGAAATTTACATTTTTAAAAAATATATATAGATAATGGATTTATAGTAGTAATTAGACTTTTATTTATTTACGTTTAAAGTTGTTACGATAGATGAGGGATGTGATTTTTTTTACTCGTGGAGATGGAATTTTATAAGCTAGGTTATGAAATTTTCTTAAACTCGTCCATGCGATGAGTTTTTTAAGCTGGGTATATAGATTTAAAATTGTAAAAAAAAGAACTTTCATAAATCATTTGATTTGGTATTTTCGGAGAGCTTCATTAATTTAAAAGTGTAAAATAAATAAATAAAAAATGTACAACTGAAAAAGTTACAACCAATTGTATGGAGAATTAAACTAAATCCAATTTGTAGGATGCATTAAATATTGATTAAATTTTATATGTAAAATAAAATAAAAAAATAACTGGAATAGTTGTAAGTGTTGCAATATTTTATATTTAAAAAAAATAAAAAATCTTCATTTACGTATTGCATAACTACATTTTAAGAACTACATAGATATTCCTAAATTAATATTGCATACCCAATATTTTAGGAACTAATTAAATGCTAATTTGATTTGCATATCAAAAATATTAGATGCATTAATTAAATGATTGATAAAAATAGCAAATCATTAATTAGGGTTGACTATTCTACATACTGCATTTAGTAAATAGTACCCCCTTTAATATAAGTATAGATTTAATGGCCTATTGAATTATCTTTCTACAGCCCTATAGTATTTGTATTGGGCCTTTTTTATATACATATATTCCATCTTGTTTAAGCTTGGTGCCCCTTCTTCAGTTGGCCCGGGCCGGGCCTGGATAAAGGTTGTGTGCTTTTGAAAGTTGGGACCAATGCAACTGCAGATGGAGAGAAATTTGGGGATGGAAAAGAAAAATCCGATCTTTTTTACTTTTACCCCTTATGTTGCCTTTAATTATTGAAAAATGCTACATTACTAATTTAGTGTACAACTAAGTTGACAATACAAGTGAAAACATCTACTTGTGTATTTTTTTATTTTTAATTTTTTTGAATGTTTTCACTTGTGTTGTCAACCTAGTTGAACCTAGTTGTATACTAAGTTGACAATGTAGCATTACTTTTAATTATTTGTCCCTGTAAAAAAACAAAGAATCCCACCATCACCACCAAGTGCACATTTACTTTTTTTGGCTTTATGGTTTTGGAAATTTACCTTTTGAATTTATTTTAGTATTTTGAAGAATAAGAAAAAGACGGGATTTCCAAATGAAGAGATTGTTGGCCTTTCAGCTTTTAGGCTGTTCAAGCTTCCAAGAATAAGTTCGTTGCATATTTGTACTTTAAGAGGGGACATAGCTTGAGGATAGATATTGTCATATATGTTGTAAATGTGGACATTATTAAAAGACAATTTTTAAATGTTATAACATGTGTCAGGATTTGAACTTCAGATTTTTTAAATTTGTGAATTAAACTTTAAATTTTTAGAACTTAATTTTAAATTACTCTGTTTTGGTGTGCAATCTGCAAACCACGAAAATAAAGCATACATGTTTGGAGGTAAAAGGCAAGCTTTTTTACCACGATGTAAATGGCAACCTCTTGCAATTGGATATGCATTTTTTTTTTTTTATTATGAGTATAAAAATATTTGGAAAAACTTTAAGAAAATATAACATTCCAGATTTTATTATTATTACAATATATGTAAAATAATTAAGCCCAGATCATGATGCAAAACAAAGGTACAATTTCTTTAAAGATTTTTTTCATTTAATTCAATAAAGAACAAAATGTTTCTCTCTTTTAAGTAGTGGAGACTTTTGGAGAGAGTAAAGTAAAGTCAGTCTACTGTGTGAACTGTGTTAATTTTTTCTTGATAGGAAAAAAAATAAATGGAAGGCACATAGATGGGCTCAGTCCTCCTTCCTCCGCCATCATCCTCCCCCTAAGCTGCCACCACGGTGGTCGCCGGATATTGATTATAGACCTTATTCCTTTATTTTCTTATCATCTCCTTTTTTAGGTCAATAAATTTAAAAAAATGGGCTGCACGGCGTCGAAGCTGGACAATGAGGACACGGTGCAGCGGTGCAAGGAGCGCCGCCGCCTTATGAAGGAGGCCGTCTACGCCCGCCACCACCTTGCAGCCGCCCACTTCGACTACTGTCGCGCCCTCCGCATCACCGGCTCTGCCCTCGCCACCTTTGCCGCCGGCGAGCCCCTCTCCGTCTCCCACCACGCTCCCGCCGTCCTCCTCCGCAACCCCTCTTTCACCGCCTCCGCCAACCCCCCGACCTTCGTCTCTCGGACTCCAGCTTCTCATCCTCCCCACCGCCCAACCCCCGCGGTTTCACCTACGACGCCAGAGCCAATTCAACCTACTCGAGCACGCCTTCCCAGGCCTCCTCCGTCTGGAACTGGGACAACTTCTACCCTCCACCATCCCCTCCAAATTCCGAACATTTCCAACAGCTCCAGAACAAGAAAAACCCTAAGCCCCAAATCGATTTCAACAACTCCGACTCAGAAATCGACGATCCCTACTCCGATAACGATGATAAAGCTTCGAGCTTCACATCTTATTCAAACCCCCACAAACAGACAAATCAATATAAAAACCCTTTCAGCAGCGATCATGGTAAGGACCCCCTAGACGACCGTGCGTCTAATTACTCGTCTTTTTCCCGCTACTCGGACAATAGCTACGCAAGAAAAGGCCCGGTTGTGAAGAAAGGCTTGAACTTGAAAAGATGGGAAAATGAGGAGACTGAGAGAGAAGAAGTTGAGTGCAGTGAGTGGGGGGACCACGACCACTACAGCAGCACAAGTAGCTCGTCTGGTGAGGAGGAGAGGGAGGATTTGAAGTCAAGATCCGATTTTGGGGGCCGTTCGGATTTTAGGTCGGTGAAAAATGAGGGCAGTTATGTGAAGCCAGCTAGTGTGGGGAGCTTTAAGAATGGGAATGTGAATTCCAAGTTCTCGAGCAAGCTGGAAAAGCTGTCGTCTTTGGATGATGATATTGATGGCAAGTCTTCAGTTAGTTGGGGGGATGTGAATGATGAGAAGGCGAATTCTGAGCGTAGGATTGTAGTGAGGCACAAGGATCTGGTGGAAATTGTGGCGGCTATAAGGGAGTATTTCGATAAGGCAGCATCTGCTGGAGACCAGGTCTCCGAGATGCTCGAGACGGGCCGGGCCCAGCTTGACAGAAGCTTCAAGCAGCTGAGGAGTAAGTTTTTTGATGCGGTTATTGTTATCTGCTGAATTCTTTGATGGTTTTGAGAGTTTTTGGTTGGATTGGTAATTTACTTGATATTTGCAGTTGAAGTAGTTTCATGAATTTATTTGGTCTGCTGCTATTTTTTATCATATTTGTTGCCTGCTGATTCATATTACTCCTAGGGAAGTGGAATGTTACATTTTTTGATGTTTGTATTTGGTGTCACAGAGACTGTGTATCATTCTAGTGGAATGTTGAGCAACTTGAGCTCGAGCTGGACCTCAAAGCCTCCTCTGGCTGTTAAATATCGGTTTGAGCCGAGTTCAATCGAGCAACCTGGTGGTCCGAAGAGCCTCTGCTCCACTTTGGAACGTCTCTTGGCGTGGGAAAAGAAGCTATATCAAGAAGTGAAGGTAGTGATCTAAATCTCTTTTTCTTTTTTTTTTTAAAGTTAATTTGCTTCCTGTTTAAATAATAATTATTTTCTTTAAGACTCATGTAATGTTCTTCTATTTCTTGTGTTACGTTGTTGCATAGATGCCATAGTTGACAATTGCCAACGTAATAAAATTTCTTATGTATTTTCGGGGAAATATGACTGAACTTTGAGGGATGATTGTGTATATGTGGGGAACAATGTGTCCTTAGTTGGGTGGTGGTGATGTGGTTATATTGATGTCTGAAGCTTGTCTTATGAATGCTTGTAGTTGAGCAACTTTCTTCGGTAAGCTTGTTTACGTGGAATGACTAAAACGCCCTAAGTAACATTTTTTGTGGTGTTTGACAAGTACAGCCTAGAATTAACATGGTGGTTCCAGCTGATTTATGCCTGTCATCAATGATTAAAATGAAAATAAGTACAAGACTGAAATACTACCATGTTCAATTCTTAATAATTCACGTTTTTACTTTGTTTCAATTTTCTCATTAGTTACTTTAGTGAAGCCATGCTTCTATTGTATATTTGTATATTTTGCAAT